TTTTTAAATAATACCACATTTTATTTAAGCATCTTTCGGGCACTCTTGCTTAAAAGAATAAACATTAAAGGCAAAAGACATGCGTCAAGGCGGCTGGAAGTGTGCGGGGACAGGATTTTTAAACAATTTCGATATATTTGATAACAGATACAATGATCAGTGAGTTAAAAGTTTTGAGAATGTACAATGCGAGAGTGGTTGATGAAGTGAAGGAGGAAGAGAGAGTAACAGTGTTGTTTGCCTGAAAACAAAACCCTTCGACAACACATCAAGCTCAAATAACCCACCAAATATTCCATATTTTTGAAGACCTTTAACAAAACTCTTATCTTTTGAGTTAATGAAATAATATAAAAGTTGTTGAACTTACAGCTGTTTCCATTTTCTGTCCATTGCACCATATGTCCATGGTATCTTTCTCTGTGGAGGAAATAAAGTCAGTAGAAAGAGTGGTGAAGAAATCTACTCTGTTAAAGTGCACCAACTATACACTTTTGAAGTATGTGAAATGAATCTTATAGCTCCCCTCAAAAATAATTTTGGGTTAAAATGTAATTAGACATGAGTAAGAGGAGCAAAGGAGTAGAGATGGAACTAAATGTACAACAATTACTTGATCAATTGAAACCACTCTTTGTTTACATGGATCACGCACATATTTATTTTGCGTCATAGGACCCTTTTAGTATTTAACCTTAGACTGGAACTTATTTTGACTACAAGATTACACTCAAAACATGAGATGTCAGCAAATCCCTCGTTATTATTTTATTATATACTTGTGACGTTCAACTCTGCTGTTTGAAAGGTTCAGGCTAACATCTAAAGGTAGGTCTTGCTAATTTTGGTTTGTATTTCTAAAATAATATTATAATTCTAGTTCATAAACACAATTAAAAATAATAAACAACAACATCCTCATGTTATACATAAATTTCTTTTGTAAATTGTATTGATATTGAACAGTCCTTTCTTAAATATCGACTAAACATTTTCTTTTTGACAACTTCTTGGTAATACAATTGCCTCTATAATAACAGCAGAAATACGTGGACATTGCCACCCCTAGAAAATTAATTATACTGAAAATCTATATTATATGGTTCTGTTTTGGCCCCCTTGGTAGAGTAGGGGTCTTTTGTTCTCCTGTAACATTTGGGGAAGAGAAGGGGATACCACATTGTAATTAAGGCACCCATATGACCCTGCTTACACATCAACTCAATAGGATATTTTACTAAATGCATAAAATTAATAGTAAAACAAGTAAATTGTAACTATTACCGAACATTAATTGTAAAGTGTTAGAAAACTCTGAAAGCAAAGGGTTAAGAATGTTTAACAGAAAATGCTGTTTTATTTAACTTAAACGAGAGAGCGAGAGCACAACAGAACTTGTTCACTTCAGTCATTTTCTAACCTGCTTATTCCCTATTTGGGGTCACGGGGGTCTGCCTGTGCTACATTGGGCAAGAGGCAGGGGTACACCCTGGACAGGGTGCTAGTCCATCGCAGGGCAACACAACAGAACTCTCACCAACTTTATTTAAACTATATTTAACTTTTCTGCTAGGTATTCTACCTCTGGAAGAGCTCTTACAAGACCTTTCATACCAGGAGAAAGACGCCTCTTTCATCTCCACTGAACACGGGGGAACAGTTTTTGGAATGGTTGGATTTGTTATTGCCTGGCCTTTAGTAAACACAAATGAACAATCTGGAAACACCAAAGAAGTTTCACATTCCTTTTTCATTGTGTTATCTAACTAGGTCATGGGCTAAAAAAAAAACAAAACATCAAGACTTCCTGCTCACTGCCTGCAGCATGAAGGATAGGCTGTTTGTTACCATCAGAGCAGGAGGAACTGATTTAAAAAAAGTCACGTGGATATTTTCTTTAACCCTACTGACTGATCTTTAACTGAATGAAGAGTGTTGCCGTCCTGAATCCCAAATGTTACTGTTGCAACACTTGCATCTTCCACAATATAAATAAATACATGCTACTTTCTGCTTCAAGCTGATCTTTACCATATTATTTTACTTTTTATGTTAAATTAAAAGTTCTCCCAGATTTTTTTTATAATAATAAAAAAATAAAATAAAAAATAACACAAGTAAACACAACACATAGTTTTTAAAAAGAATATTTTTTTAAAAAGAAAGGAAAATTATATCCAAATGTGTTTGACGCCCATCCCCTGTTAAACCATAAATGTGGTTTATCGCAACTAATTTCAGGTTTCTACCCATACACAGCCCTGAACCTTGCCAAAAGTTGCTGGGTGGCCAAAATTAGCTCAAGAGAGCAGCGACACAAAAATACAACAATATCTAAAGAACTGCAGGACTCTCAAGTGTTCATAAGAAAAAGACTAGACAAAAAAGGTCCCGTATGACAAAGCTCCAAGATGAAAATCATGATGAACATAAAGGCCCATCTCAGTTTTGCCCGAAAACATCTTGAAGACTTTCAGCAAAATATCTGCATCACATTATATCTGAATTATTATAAAAAGTAAAATATGGTGGTGGTAGTGTGATGGTCTGGTGCTGTTTGGCTGCTACTCAACTTTGTCCTGAACTTTGTCCGAACAAAATAATTAAACTTATTTTAAATGGCAACTGAACAACAGCATTTTTTGCTTATCAGTTTATCACTGCTGTTATGCAGTATAGCAAAAATATCACGTTGTTTCCCACTTGTATATCTATTTAATCATTTATTAATAAAAAAAGTCAGGCTACTTATGCTTGTTTAACTTAAATGTTTCCCTTCTGGGTATGCTATGCAAAAAGCAGTGACTCTTCCGCGAAACAACTTTCAAATTACAATCATCCCATAAATCGTAAGCGATCACCTCTTTTTGTGCATGACTTGTTTTTTTTGTTTTTTTTTTTTGCAAACATTTGGAGGCTGAGGTAAGAATATGTAGAAACTAAACATTATACATCACAGGATTTTATCACTAGAAAAGCACCTTCTATTGTTAAGCACCAATTAGTTAAAGGGATTTAATTCTTAAAGCTTTATTTAACCCAAAGTTAATCACTGCTTCTGAGCGACCGCTCTCAGAGTTAGCTTTCGGCCCTTCCGTCATCTAAGACTTCATGCTTATCGTGGGTGGCCCTCAGGATTTGTTAACTCCTCACTCAAAACATATACTATAATATAGATGGTATTATATGTGAGGAAGTTCTGTGTGTGCCTGTATTTCCTCTTACCCAGGACCACTCTGCAATCAATCCCATCCAGGTTGAGGAGCCACGTGCTGGTCACTTTAGAGCGGTTCTCCAGGTACTTCTTGAGGCTCTGTCCATTGATCTCGAGTGTGTACTCGTACGCAAAGCCACTCACAGCATCTATGTTAATAGTGGCTTTTGTATCTGTATTGCCCACGTTAAAAGTCTCCTTTCCAACCAGTTTGAACATCCAGTCTCTCCTTACCAATTCCTGTGGAAATGACCAACAGTTCTGTGAGGCATCTACGTTTACAACCACAAGTAAGTAATATTCATTTGATAAATTTCTTTATTATTCCAAATATAAAACCCTAAATATACATTCCTAAGTAATGGCACTCTTTTTAACTCTTTTTTTTTTTCTAGAATATGTTCAATAAGAAAATAATGTATCTCTAACTAACTCATTTATTTAATAAAGACACATTTTTTTTTATTAAATTCTTCAATCAGGGACTTATACAATGCTCTTGTTATATGGCAACAGTGTGGGAGAACAGGAAAAAAGTTTTTGAACAATTAAAAACGAAAGGAATTTGTTTGCAAAGGTGGCTGCCATTTTATGGTGGATCTTTGTTATTTTTGGAATTACAGTGTGGTCACTGAGTGAGAACAGACTCACATTTTTTTTTTCCTGCAGCTTCACTGCAGCTCTACTCAAGGTTTCCTCTCGGAAAGCACATTATTAGATCCTATAGCTTTTGAAAATTTGCATTCAAGTGACAACAGAGCTGTTAATGAAGCACTTCAAAGAGGTAGTGCAGCAGCAGCAAAATGCACTCACACCAGCCAGCTCCTCCATTAGGAGGCCAAATGGATGAGCAACCACAAAAGTTTTTTTTTTTTTAATGCAAGAGCTACAGAACATGCTGCGAGGAGAAATGCTACAGCTAAAGTAATGGAGGTGAGCTGGTTCCAACCCTTGTAAAGGTGATGGAGGGGAGGCTGTGTATTGTGGTAACATGTTCCTTTCAAGAGATCTTGGAAAGCCAGCACTGACAGACTCACTGAGAAGAAAATGGATCAGTCTGTGGCATCTGACATTTTGAATGCCTACCTTCATTGAGGCCATTAATGCAGTTTGCTTTAGTTTGGGTCAGTTCTGTGGATTTTTGTGGTTAAAATATAAATATTTAAAAAATCTTAAATTAAGAGCGGTCAAGATATGTTTAATTACACACAAATATCGGAATAAGCCATAAACTCTAGTCCTCACAGCTGAACATAAAATGCCTGTGTCAGCTTTTGACCACTTAAAGCGCCTCAAGGCCTAACAGCTGTGAGAAACCAATGATAAGCTGAAACGAAAGGGCATTTCTAGGTACCGGCGGGTCAGCACCAATGCTTCCACTATATATGGGTAACAGGAACCTCCAACCTATACAAAAAGTATAAAAGGGCAAGGAAAACTGTATCTCTGGTGAATATGTGAACTCTGTGTTCATGTTTTCATTGCTACCCTGAGATCTCAGCTGGGGGAAAAGACTTAGCCTCGGGAGGAGGAGAGCAGCCGACTTTCTACAAACTGACTTGAGGAGGTAGGGGGGGGGGCAGCCAACTTTCAGTAGCTGGACTAAGTCTCTCCGGAAGGAATAGAAGGTCATATCCATGACAGAAGAGAGATAGAGAGAGAGTAACAGTGTTGTGTGATTAGATGTGCATTTGAAAGCTCGGCTCAGCTCAGATTACATTCAGATTTATGCATTTGGCAGATTCATTTATCCATAAATATAGAGGGATAAACACATTTGGTCAGTTTGTCTAGGGTTCGAACCCAGGATCTTTGCATCGCTAGTGAAATGCTCTACTGACTGAGCCACAGGAAAATAGTTCAGCAAATTTCCAATGATGGAAATATAAAAATTGCATACACTATGTATTAAATATGGAAAAAGCAACATTTTTTAACTTTTGGACTTTACCGCTGACTCCAAACATATTCCTGTTGGTAGAGTTCTGCTTCTGGCTAAGCTTTGAGTAAAACCAGCATCCAATTGTTCTTTATTTTCAATTAATCTTCGAGAAAAAGAAGATTTTTTTTAAACACTGGCTCACTCCTTGGTACCCATTTTTTTTAAATAATCCCACCCTGGAACAGAGCATCTCCTTAATCATCATGCTTGTCTTAGGATGGCTAACTGTGGCTTTCCTTTAGGTTCACTGACCGTGTTAGCGAGAGTTTGACAGATAATTTCATTTCAGCACAAGATTCAGCACTTTTGGTTTCTCTGGTAATGTAGGCTTTCATTTTCAACGTGCTTTAAAAATTGTTTAAGCGCCTTTTAAATTGTCCAAGATTCGTTTGGACTCTTTTTGTCCAATGTATTATTTAATATGAACTATATTTTTATTTGAGCAGCACATATGTGTTGTGATCCACTCTACTCTACCTTTTTGAAGGTCACACTATAAAAATAGTATTATAATAGTAATAGTATTATAATTTAGATGAGTCATTTTTGTCTTACTGCAGCTTAAGTGTTTTGAATGCTGAAAGAGCTGGATATATTCCTAGAAGAGCCTGATGTAAATCTCAGCGACTACTAAAATCCCAAAACTTTTACTAAGCGGGTCAGACATTTTTTTTTTAGTTGAATTTAACTTTGACTTAAAAAGTGTCTCAAATAATTTGACTTTGCTGTATATATGGTACATTTCTTATATTTTGTATTTGATTATATGTGAATGTCTCACGTGTAATGAAATGTTTATTTAAGAACTTCGAGGTAATATAAGCAAACTACCCCTACTGGTTCATAGTTGAAAAACTGATGTAGATCACATTTAAACCTGAAACCCAAACATTCATATATGCAACAATGTTACTTATACAATATGCATGACTTACATGTTAAATTATGTGTTACTATAAGTCGACTTACCTTTCCATCGATGTGAATCACCCGTTTTCCTGTGGTTGTGCCATGCTCAAATTCAATCCTGTGGACACCATCACTCAAAGCCACTTCCCACACAGCCACCAGATCTCCTGACATCCTCTACCCTCCAGTACTTAACACATTATTTCAATATGTAATACATGTCTAATACGGGTATCATACAAAGTAATTTATGTAAGATTTATATCTAGACTTTTGTTATGTCGTACTTTCCTTGTTATATTGTTTAAGGTCAAATGTTTGATAAAAAAAAAACAGTATGGATTAAGTTAACCATTAACGTTACAGAACAGTTACCTGTGTTAAATGGCCTTGTTTGGAAAACACTGTAGTCTGTAAACGTCTTGATAACATGCGTCTTCCTAACGTTGTTTGCAAAGACACTGTCGGTCACGCCTGAGAAGCTGGTCAAGCTCCCGGTAATTCCAAAATGCAAGAGTCCGAAAAGCCACGAAGAAGCGCAGCTACGGTTAAACAACAATCAGAATCAGAACTGACACAAAGCACGTTTCTATGTAAAATTAACTTTGCTGTTAGCATAAACGATCTCTTTTGAAGCCCGTATCAACACGAAGAGATCCAAAATAGCCCAACAACAAATCTGCTCTAGCTAACAGTTTCTATGGCAACAGCTTTTCGTATTCTTCTTCTATCCATGTTCGTGTTAATTATTGTCAAATGAACTTTACTGACATCTACCGGTAAGTCTCTTCTTCTTTTAATTGTTATGGGCGGTCGGAATACTCATGCGGTGCACTACATACGGGATTGGATGGTGACATGCTAGGCGTCGTTGTTGCCTCTTTTTATCATTGTTCAGCCAGCCACTAGACTAGACCTTTCTGTATATTTTATCAAGACTACGTTACATAATTACATTATATGTGTATAATGAAAAACAAAAGAAAAAAATTACACAGATACAAATAATAAAAAAGGCAAATTTACAATGCAAGTTGGTGACTCTATCTTGCTCAAACTACAAATTAATAAAACATACACACGTCTGGTGGAAAAAGTAGCTTCAAAGTCAGAAACAGGTATCTCAAGTGACAAACCAAACAAATTGATTTTTGTACATTAAAAATAAATAAATAAATAAATAAATAAATAAATAAATAAAAACTGGGTGAAAACAACAAAAACGAAAGTAACCATATTACTACAGTTTGCCTTTAAACCAGCCGAAATTCTTATTAGCACATTTGTACAAAGTCGGGGATTATGTCGGATAAAATATGAAGAATACGTTTTCATTAAAAAACAAATAACGAAATAGAATTCAATATTTATTTTGATGACATAAATTCACCTAATTTTTATTACGTTTAGATTTTATTCTTTAATTTAGCAATTCTAGAGAATAACTGTGAAGAAGACGCCCAGCGCTTGCATTGAGTAAATATTTTTTTAAGTAAATAAGTTTTTTTTAAAAAAGTAAATAAGTTTGACGTGACAACGTATTACGAAACGATGACGCAATACTACCGCGACACGGACGGAGATCCTTGGCGACTTTGAGGGTAATCGAGCTCGCAGAATATTTTGAAGTTTCGCGATGGCGTCGATGCTGTTTCGGCGGGTTGTGCCTCCCTGTGTAGGATCCTTGAAAGCACTGTCGACTGTTCCTACGGTAAGGTTAAAATACACCGCTAACCGCCGGCTGTACAATACATGGATCTTGTTGGGCCTAATGTAATCCAGACTGAAGGACAACAGACAAAATAACGTTACACCAGTGTGGAAGGTGCTAGATTAATTTATTCTTCTATTAGCGTAGCTCACATTAATATGGTTATTATAATATGACCAATATAGTATTTCTAGACCTATTTTGTTCCATAATAGTATGTTCACGTATACGCTGCTGTTTGATGTTTTGGATACGAGAACAGACAACACCGCCTTAATCCTAGCAAAGTGTATAACTAATAGAAGTTATTTACCTTAATTATAACCGTGTTCATTTGTGCTTTAAGCTATTTGTTCCCAAAAGCCTCTGATATCGTTAGTATAATGGGTTTTAAAGCGACGCCAGTGATTAAAAACATTTAAAAATATTAACAAAAACCGACACTGAAAGCCCTATTCAAACAAAACTTTTTGAGTTGATGCACAATACGCAGAGGTATTTTGCAATAAAATATTAAGTGACCTTTTTTTCACTTGTAATGAAGCTTGCTTATTAGTGAATTTATTAATATGTAATTATAGACTTTAGATATATATCGTTTAGATAAAACATCGCAATGTAATTTTTTTCCAATATCGTTCAGCCCTAGTTCTCACTCAGTTTGAGAGACAGTTTTACAAAATTTGGCCCCATGTTAACGACCAATACACACTGATCCGAATCTCACATCGGACTGAACGCCTACAAACAGCCAATGAGCTATATGCAGAATATTTAGCTATATGCAGAAAAGCTTTAGTAAACCCATTGCTGCCTTTTCATTTTAACTCAACTTCATGCATGCATGCAGTGCTGTTCAAGGAATATGATGCGAAATTCCAGCGTCAGGCTGTCTGGCAGCTAAGCAATGTCTAGATGGCATTGCAGTACTAAACCTTTCCTAGCTCTGAGTATAAATAAGTTTGCATATCTTGAATAATAGAATGAAGTTTGAGGATTTCTAACTCATACTGGTTTGGTTAACTGTAGGGAGTGGCCAAGTAACAAAATAACAAAGGACCGATGAAAACAACTAATGTAGGGCTGCATGATTGACAAAAATCACAATTTTCGATTGTTCCCTTGAAATTGTAATTGCGATTATTAATTGCGATTATCACAATTTACATTGATTGATGTTTTAAATAGCTATATACCATTTTTGAAGCCCTTTCTATACAAAGCCTGTATTCTAAACAAAGCCATAGTTTCTATACAAAAATTAGCAAAAGATAAAATAAGAATAATGAATGAAGCATTGTTGTTGAAATCAAGATCATGAATAAAGCAGTATTAGATCATACCCATAAAAAATGACACTTATATATTGAAAACATTTTTGTTGGAAATATAAAAACTCTATTAACTGCTTATAATTGTGATTGAGATGGTGACACGCCTCCTGCCTACTGCTGCTGCTGTTCCACAAATCCTCCTTCACTCTTGACTATCATAAAAACATCTCTATATGATCTTTAAACATCAACAAGTGCTTTGCCACTGAAATCGAACACTTTAGTGTGCCAAAAAATGGTGGAAGAATGAGAGGAAGTAAGGAAGAAAAGACGCAATATTCGCGAATGTGGAAGTCACGGAAGAATCAAATACATAAACACGCTAATACTAATAAACCTATTACTACTACCAAGACAATGCTTATACTATTATTTACAGTATAAATAGAATATTTACAATAAAATCTCAGCTAAAACACTGCAAAATATTGCTAAAGCAATCACAGGAAATCAATCACTCATCTATCAATGCTCTATCATATGCTCCACAAACTTACCACCCCTGGCACACACGCACTGTCATTACTACCATAATAAATGTAATATCTTTCAAAAGGTTTGTTTCGTAGCTTTCAGAATCTGTTGGGATTCTGTCGTTATTATTCTGAATTATTCTGTCGCCGACTACAGCTTCGGTGCAATGCAACCTACGTGATGCTCTAAACATGCAGAGTAATGAAGTTGATTTATTTATTTATTTTTTTGTAATTGCGGCTTTGAACGATTGCGTAATCGTGTCATCCATAATTGTGATTGCAATTATAAATACAATTAATTGTACAGCTCTAAACTAAAATTAATCAGATCTTATTCCGGCCCGGGCTGCTACCCAAGACCCAGGTAGGATTAAATGAAGTTCTCAAGTAATTTTTATTATTATTTTTTTTGGTCTGATTCACATTTGCATTTATAGTAGATGTGTTGGGGAAGTAACACAACATTTTATTAGTATTT